AGCTTTGCCAAGAAGCACCTCCAAGTCTCCAGCCTGAGCGACATACAGGCTAAGGCCCTCAAGGCCCCAGGGCCCATGGCGGTGGACGGCTTCGTGGGGTCCGTCGTCCACTGCGAGGGCTTCTCTTTCATTTTGTTCGTGTTCTATGGGTACTGTTCAATTGGTATGTCTGGGCGCAACCTTGCTCGGTTTCAGCGGTTGGGAGCTGTACTGCAAATGTTGCAACTGCCATGGGTAGTGCTTGGGGACTGGAACGTCAATCCTTCTGAGCTCGACAAGTCGGGCTTTCTCCTACGCGTTCACGGGCAAGCCATGGTGCCCCCAGTTGCTGTCACCTGCGACATGGGCACCGAGGGCTCGCTCATCGATTATGCAGTCATTTCGGAGGCCATGGCACCGTACATCCTGGACTGCCAGGCTGCGCTTGATGTTCCGTGGCGGCCGCACATTGGCATCGCAGTTAAGTTCAGGAGCAGCGGCAAGCAGCTGATCACACGCCGCCTTGAGGCGCCAGCTCGCCTGCCCCAAGTGACGCGGCCCCGCGCGTTGCCGCAGGAGGGGTCCAAGTCGTCGCTCGCCAAAGCCGAGAGAGCCATCCAGTCTGCTGCTGCCGCTGAGCGTCGCTCTAAGTTATTATCAGAGTTGTTTAGCGATTGCGTTGTTCAGGATAGGCAAGAGGAAGACACAGCAGCCCCGTCTGAGGACGAGTCTCTAATTGATGAGTGGCCCGAGGAGGAAGATCCCTGGGGTCACGAGCCGAATTTCTGTGCTAGTTTCTGCCCGTCTGCGCAGCCAGGCCAGCCTCCCGCTGTTGATCCCAGTGGGCCCTTGGTCGGTGCGAGTGGAAATGGTCAGTCATCGTCTGAGCACCCTGAGTCGCAGAGTAGCACGTTGCCATGTCAGGGTCCAATTCGGTTGTCCGATGGAGTCGGTTCCCCCCTCAGCGATTGCGCGCCCCGTCAGCTCGAGGGAGCGACCCTGGGTGATCCTTCTCTCAGCGCGGAACCTGACTTTTACGTGTCTCAGGATTGTTGGCGGGCGAATCGGTCACCCATTTACTTCCAGATGTGCACGGAAGAAGATATGCACCCACTGTTTCGTTCTTCGGCAGCTTTTTGGCTCAACCCCAAGCCAATTCCCTTTGTCCGCGCATGGTACTCTACGTGGGTTCGTGGTGTTGAGCAGTCGGCTCTGGAGCACCACGGCATCGAGCAACGGTCGGGGCCCAGCAGGGGCACGGGTTGCCGCTTGGTTGTTGAGGAGGTTCGGCAGTCCACCAAGTCACGGCAGGCCCCGCTCCGTGACCAGGTGGCCGCGAGTTAGTCAACATTCAGCATATCTGTCGTCAGCTTGTGCACGCTCGGCCCTCAGGAGTCCACCGTCTACTTCGACCTGGCCGTGACGCTGGGGATAAGAAGTGGGTCAAAGCGTTGCTCAATTTAGCCTCGCTCGTCGATCCCGTTTTGGACTCGCACTGTGATCAAGCCAGTCGGATCGCTCGTCGGGGCCAACGGCGCGCCGTGCACGAGCCCCTGGCGGGGTTTCAGGAGTGGGCCGCGCAGCAGGCCGCCGTCGGCCCATTCCACCGCAGCATGAAGGAGGACCCACTGCCGTCGCTGGAGTTGTTCGAAAGTTCGGGAGTCGCGATCCACCCCAGGGATATCATCGACACCAAGGCCCGGCGTTGGCAGGAGCTCTGGGCTCCACATCCTGTCGATCGAGATCGTACGCAGCGTGCTTTCGAGGCAGCGCGTGCAGCAGCGGAGCTCGAGCAGATGGAGCCCATCACTGAGTGGGACATCCGTCGCGCGGCTCACGCCATGAGGGCCACCACAGGCCTAGGCGCAGATCGGATGACGCCGATCGACGTCGAGAGGCTGCCGTCGGAGGCGCTGGTGGAGCTGGCCGAGCTGCTCAACACCACCGAGCGGACGCTGGCGTGGCCGCACCAGACGCAGCTCATCATCGGCAAGCTCTTGGCCGAAGAAGCTGAGCGGCGACCGCGTGATCGGCCTGGTGTCGTTTCTCGGCCGACTGTGGTCGCTCATTCGAGAAGGCCATGTTCGGCAATGGTGCAATCTTGTGGAGGCGGATTGGGACGCCGCCATCGCGGGCAATGCATCGCTCCGCGAAGCGTTCCACCGCACTCTGCAGGAGGAAGTGGCAGGGGCCTTGGGGACTCCCCATGGCCACGGCCCCCTAGATGTGAAAGGATTCTACGATAGTATTGAATGGGATATCTTGACGGATGTGGCATTAAAGTTATCTTTTCCCCCAGTTATACTGTTCTTAGAGTTGTCCCCATGTATGGCTCCCAGAGTGGTTGAACAAATGGGAGCGGTCAGTGAACCCTTCTTGGCTACGTGCAGTATTATACAAGGGTTAAGATCTGGAACCCGATTTGCGAAGTGTATGACCCATTATGTAATGGCTAAAATCAGTTGCTCCCATCAAGGTGTGTCGCACCGTCTCTGGATTGATGACCTGTCGCAAAGTTTAGCTGGTTCCCGTCCAAAGGTTGCATCGTCACTCTCAGCTTGTTTAGCTGACACCGCGGATGAGCTGAAAAAGATGAAGTTGCAGATTGCGCCCAAGTCTTGCGTGGTGTGTTCTCATCATGGCGACGCGAAGGAGATCGTCCGACGTCTGCGGCGCCGACGCTTCACTGTCCAAGCCCAATTACAGGCAGGGCTTCTTGGCGTTGACTTGGGTGGAGGCAGGAGGGCGGCCAGAGAAGTACGGACCAAGCGGGGGCTCAAGCAGAAGAAGCTCCATGCGAAGGTCGGGCGTTTCGCCAGGGCGTCCAAGCGCTACAGGGTGACGTCCAAGCTCGAGCGCCTGGGTGCTCAGGCAGCAGGTACGTATGGGCAGGCCACCAACGGCACGTATGGGCAGAAGCTCCAGCAGTGCCGACGTGGGCTTGCAGCAGTCAGTAGTGCGGGAGGTAAGGAAGTTTGTATCACATCTCGTCCCCTGGCCAGGACCCAGGGGTTAAACTCCCTCATGGTGTTATCGCGTTGTGGCTGCAGCAGTGGTTTGCTCACCCTCACATCCGCCCATCGGTGTACCGTGCACGGCCGATGGTGCTTCAGCGGATGGAGGCTATGCCACCGTCTCGTCGTTCCAGATGGGCAAGAGGGCCGATGTCCGCAGTCATCCTCACGTTGTTGGAACGTGGCTGGCATCCCGAGACCCCCACCAAGTGGCATCTGTCTGACGAGATCGTTTGGGATTTCCCCGAAGCCGTTTATCACGAGCAGCCAGCACTCAACAATGTGAAGGCCTTTTCGATGATTTTGATCAATCAGCAGCGGCACAGTATTGGCAGCATGCGTCACGACACTTCTGTGGTAGTGGCCTGCAAGGTGGAGTAGACAATGTTTCTTTGGGGTGGCTGCTCAAATATCTTGAAGCTCTTCCTCGAGGAAGGAGGTTGGCGGAGGTCATGGTCTCCATCTGTGCTGGAGGATCGTGGCCGCGCGAGCGTCGAGCAGCCGCCACCACAAAGCTGCAGATATGCCCCTTGTGTCCTCGTTGCCGTCAAGAGGTTGAGCCGCCTTACCATCGAAGCTGGAGTTGCGAGAAGAATGTTGAAGCCGAAGCATATCGGTCTGACGACCTGCTTCCAGCCGCTGCAGCTCAACATGAATGTGATCAGGCGTTCTGGCTGCGTGGGTTGATCCCCCAAAGTTGGACGACGGTCACTCCCCCGTGTGCGGTGGAAGCATGGATTGGTAGTGGAATGTTTCGCAATGGAGTTGTCGACGACGCAGCAGGACCAGGTGCGCCTTCCCAGCCAGTTGTGTTCTTTGGTGATGCATCGGGAGGGCCTGACTCCAGGGATCCACGCTTTCGGCGAGTGGGCTGCGGCCTGGTCTTAGTCAACAGCGAGCAGGATCTCACCATCCAGGGTGTCATCATGGGCCCGCTGCCAGGCAATCAGACAGTCCCCAGAGGAGAGCTGTATATGTTGTGGATGGCCATACGTGTTTCAATGGACCACCTTGTTTATATCACGGACAATCAGGCTGTGTACAACGGGTGGTACGACAAAATATTTTTGAATCCAAGTGGTGAGTCTGCTGAATTGTGGGCTCGTATCGGAGAAGAGCTGCGACGTCGGCCTCCAGAACATATCATTGTACTCTTTGTCAATTCACACATGTCGGCTGCTGAGGCAGTAGCTGCAGGAGTTCCGAGTTGGTGAGTATGCGGGAATGCCATAGCTGATGTTGCTGCTGGAGAGGCGGCGAAACTGGCCAGGTTGCCCCAGGGAGATCGAGCCCGTGTGGCACAGGTGGAGCAGCGGGCCTTCTTGGTACGCATGCGGTTGCTACGAGCGGCCATCGACGCGATGGCGGCCGAGGAGGCCCTCGCGAGGGCCCAGAAGGACTGCCGCAGAGGGGCAATGAGTGAGGGAGGGCTCCTTTCTCCTCCTCCTCCTCCCCCTCCACCTCCTGTGCAGCTTTGCTTGCCGCCGCCGTGCCCCGAGGCTGTGTCCATCCTGTCCAGTTCGCACGCCCTGGACGAATCGGGGCGTCGGTGCCGCAGATGTCGTGGCTCTGCGTCGATCTCCGAACGGAGAGTGTGGAGAGCGTCGCCGTGTTTCAAGCTTGTGGCTCTGGACTGTGCGTTGAGAACCCTTCCCCAGGGGGCGGAGTTGCACATCGCTGGGGGGTGGGTGCACGGGTCTCACAAGCTAAGATATCATCAGGATGTCGATGTGTGGTTTTGTGCTGTGTGTGGCATGTTTGCTGATCAGCAGCTGCTTGGGTTGGGGAAGCAATGCGTGTATAAGACCACCCCGACTCGAGCTGGCTATTTAGCTAGAATCCGTGGCTCGTTGTGGCCCAAGGCCTTTACGGCTGCTCAGAGGGCCAAGAGAGCCCTGAAGGGGCTCCCCGTTTAAGGCGTCAGGGATGTGGACATCGTCCAGGGACTCTTACTCTTACTCTTACTCCTCCCCCCTCTCCCCCCGGCTCGGCGCAGCGGGCGCTGGCCCTGGACAACTTGTCCAGCTTGGGCAGGCACCGCGCCAGCCCCGTGGCCGCGAGCACGTAGTCCTGCGCCTGCAGGCGATGAGATCGATGACCACGGCCATGACAACACGAAAACACGACGATGACGACGACGACGACGACGACGACGACGACGACGACGACGACGACGACGACGGTGGCGACGACGACGACGACGACGACGACGACGACGACGACAACGACAGCGGCGACGCGACGGCGGCGGCGACGGCGGCGGCGACGGCGGCGGCGACGGCGACGGCGACGGCGACAGCGACGGCGACGGCAGTGGTGGGGGTGGCGGTGACGGTGACGGTAGCGGTGGCGGTGGCGGCGGCGACGAAGGCCGCGGTGGCGGTGGTGGCGGCGGCAGCGGCGGTGGCGGCGGCGGAGCGGCGGCGGTGGACAGAGGAAGGGGAAGACAATCACAGGACATGGGGGGGGCAAGAGGGTACCGATAACCGCACTGCCCGTGCTTCTCCAGCCGTGGCGGCGAGGGACGGGCGGCAGTATCGGTACCCCTGTTTCCTCGGAGGGGCGAGGCAGAGCTGGAGCAGAGGGAAGAGGAGGGCAGGGCCGGTGACGAGCCCCGGCGCGGGCATGCGCGGGAGCGCCTCCTGCAGGGAACGGCGTTGGGACCGTGGTCCTTCACTGCTGCATGACCTCGTCGGCCCAGCACCGTCGCGGACCGTGTGGGCGCCGCGCTCTCGCCGGTCAGGAGCAGGAGGAGGACAGGAGGGAGGGAGGGAGGGACGAAGGGAGGGGTAGAGGAGGAGGAGGAGGAGGACGAGGGTGGGGAGGAGGGCGAGGAGCAGGGTCTGCGGGAGAGTTGTGATCCGAGGGGAGTTGTCCATGGGGTCCAGAGGTTTCAGATCATTCGCCCACAAGCTCCTGACAAGCTCCTGGAATTCCCTGGCCTGAGGACCTATCGGGGGCATGCTTCAGTGGATTCAATAAAGCTGGTTGGTCTGTTCGCGGGCCTGGCATTCTCAATATCAGAAATGGTTCACCGTGTGTATTATCCGATACTCCATATTTTTCGGCTTCCAGATAGTTCCTAAGGGACCTACGTAAGGAGCTCGTGGAACTGAGCCTGCAGGGTGAGCTTAGATAGTGAGAAAACGGACGTGCACCTGAAATTGTGGAGGGGGGTCCGTGGGTGGAACCTCGGGCCTCCGCTCTTATCGGTGAGCTGTGGCCATCGTTGTTTCTACGGGTCCGGGAAGCTCCCCCCCACCCCCACCTGTAAGAACCGACCGCCGCTGAGAAATCCGAGTCCTGGTCGGTGCTTACAGGCGGGGGGGGCGTCTTTCAGCGTCTTGACTGCGGCAGCCAGGTCGAGCCGCTCCGCCCTTTTTTGTCGCGGGCACTCCAATGACGGCGAGCCAGGAGCGATCAACGGCGTGTGGCACAAGTGCGTTCGGTGTCCAGAGCTCGCTGCGCAGTGAGCCGAGTGTTTTCCAGAAGAGTGAGCAGCGGCGAGGCTGGAGGCATATGCCCTGAGGACTCTTTGATCAACAACCTGTGGCGGCTCCCACCGCTCGGAGACTTCCACGAGCCCGCCTGGGAAAGATCTATGTCATATGTGGGCCCAGACGGGCCGATACCGCCGTTCAGGTTCAACAAATACGATGTTCTTTACAGCGGTGGTTCTTGTTTCGGAAGCACCCTTGAACATGTATCCAGAGCTGGGTGGGGTTTTATTTATGTGGACGGGCCTGGAATATTTCAGAGAGGTATATTTGGGAATGTGCCTGGCTTCCTGCCCCAGAGTGCGGTTTTCTGAGAAGTGTATGGCCTCCTGTCTGGTCTATCACACCTTGAGCCATACAAGGAGCAAGATGGCTCACATTGGTCAGTTTATGTTGTCCACGTCGATTGCGCCGCCCTTCTTGGAACAAAACGAAGCCCTTGGACGGCTGTCTTGGGTGCCAATCCGCTATTGTAAGTATGGCGGGCTCTGGACCGCGCGGCAATGTCCCAGTGGATACTAATATATATATATATATATATATATATATATATATATATACAAAAAAAAAAAACAAAAAAAAAAAAAAAACAAAAAAAAAAAAAAAAAAAACGCCAAGGGCGAGCTCACATGTGTAGCCCGTCGTCATCAGAGGGGCAACGACAAGGCAGACGAGCTTGCAAAAGCTGGCGCCAAGTGCCAGCACCATGAGGTCCTCCAGGATCTTCACAAGTACGAGGTGCGTGTAGAAGGCTGGCATGAGGTTTCCGCCTCCAGAAAGCCAAAAGGGTGTGCGCGGCCCTAGGCCCCAGCCTCCGGCAGGTGGTGGAATTTGAAATTTAGCCCTGTGTGTTGCAGATTTGTGGAGACCAATATTCCGTTAGTATTTTGTTTGCGTCGCGGGGCCTACAATTCGGGCCTTCCCCGACAAATCGGTCGGCCCTGCATTGATATATATATAGATATATATATGTGTGTATAATGCATGTATATATAGACTAGAACCATCGCGCAAGCTTCGCGCGCGCTCACGTTCTAATTGAGGTCACCGCTCAGGTGCGATGCCCGTGACGATTATTACCACGAAGACGGCGGCGTGCACTGCAAGCCACGTGTTCTGGAAGCGCACTTCTGGAACATGGGAACGGAGATCCCCGATCCTCATCGTTCGCACGCCATGTTCCGGAGGAGCGTTCCCGGAGCATGGGGCGCCGGAGGCTCCCCCGCTCTTCCCCCTCCCGGACTATCCTGCCGAGGAACTCTTGGGTTGTGTAGGGCCGGTCTTGCGGGCTCCCTGGGGCTCTCTGGGCCCGTTTAGGGCTGTTTGGGAGCGGACCTGGAGGCGCGCTGGGCCCTATTGGAGCGTGGGAAAGCCGAAAAGACAAGAAGGCCAAGATCCTCCAATTCCTGCGTAAAATGGGAGGTGCCAGCGGGGAGCCCAGGAAAGGCACTTTGGAGAGGGGAAATGAGCGATTCTGGCCTGTCGGGACCCTCTTGGGGGTGCTCCTGGAGCCGTCTTGAGCCATGTTTGAAGCCTTTTTGGGAGCTACCTGGGGTCTCCTGGGGCTCTCTTGAGGCGGAAGCCCTGGGTTTTCCAGACGCGGTCCGTCTCTTGGACACCTCTCGGGCCAGTGGCAGGGTTCGCATGAGGTTCCATCTCCATTTCGGCACACCCTTCACACGTTTCGTGGACGCAGAAGGAGGCTCCACCGAAGGCCCCAGTGGCAGGTTCGCATGCGGCTCCATCCCCAATTCGGCGCACCCCTTACACGCTTCATGGCCACATAGCGAGCTCCACCGAAGGTACCATTGACAAGTTTGGCACGCGGTTCCACCCCTCAGTCTGGGACACCCCTCACACACTTCGTGGCCCCATTGGGAGCTCCACCGAAGGCCCCATTGGCAGGTTCGCATGCGGATCTACCCTCTATGTCGGCACATCCCTGACACGTCTCGAGCCCCCCAAGAGAGCTCCAGTGGCAGGGTTCGCATGCGGTTCCACCCCCATTTCGGCACACCACTCACACGCTTCATGGCCACATAGCTAGCTCCACCGAAGGCCCCAGTGGCAGGTTTCGCACGCGGTTCCACTCCATTTCGGCGCACACCCATCACACGCTTCGTGCCCCCATAGGAAGCTTCACCGAAGGCCCCAGTGGCAGAGTTCGCATACGGTTCCATCGCTATTTCGGCGCACCCCTCACACGTTTCGTGCCCATAAGTAACTCCACCGAAGGCCAATGGCAGGACTCGCATGTGGTTCCACCAGCCTGGCCCCCATTCTGGCACACCACCCACACGCTTCGCGGCCCTGAAAGGGAGCTACTCCGAAGGCCCCAGTGGCAGGGTTCGCATGCGGTTCCACCCACATTTCGGCGCAAACCCCACACGCTTCGTGCCTACAGGGAGCTCCACCGTAGGCCGCAGTGGCAGGTTTCGCGTGCGGTTCCACTCTCCATTTCGAAACACCCATCACACGCTTCGTGCCCCCATAGGAAGCTCCACCGAAGGCCGCAGCGGCGGGGTTCGCATGCGGTTCCCCGCCCATTTCTGCACACCTCTCACACGCTTCGTGCCCCACATAGGGAGCTGGCTGCATATGGTCGGGCCCTTCGCCCGGGTGATTGCAAGAGCTGCTTGGCGGCGTGCGCGAGCGGGTTCTCTTTTGAGATCAGCGAATACGCGCGCATGGTATTGTGTACCACGATGGGGCAGAAGCATATGTACATTGCAGCAGTGCCTCAGTTATTGAATCACCCTGGGGGGAAGGGTGGTGGAGTCGATCTTTATTCTGATCGGAGAATCGAAACGCCAGCCAGTGCAAGAATCGGCCACGAAGCGGCCACGGACACAGATGGCGACGCGGCCACAGGAACCCACCAGCCGAAAACCTGAAGACCCAATCACCTTCCAGGCGAAGCAAGAACCCCTCAGTGCAAGAACTGTTTGAGAAGTGTTCGAGGGCGTCTCACGCAGGAGCCCCATTTTGAAAACAACACGCCCTCCTACGTGTAACTGTCGGAAGCGTGCGACCTCCCTCCCCTAACCCCTAACCCCTAACGTTGCCCCTGATAGGAGGAAGCCAGGAGGAGGGGAGAGAGGACCGAGGATCGACCCAGACATACGACGTCTCGAGTTTTGCCGCACGCGGTCTCTGAAGTCCTGGCAACTTCCCCAAATGCCGGTTTCTCATCCCGAGCCCTTTTTCAACAGCCCCGCGGCCTGGCGAGAACCCCCTGGAGGCCGAAACTGAACAAAAATCTGCTGTCCTGATGTTTTCATAAAAGCCTCCTAGATGGGGTCCGAGTAGATAGTGTCGGAGAATCGCGCCGCATCGTCGATGCATCCGCGATACATCGCCGATGCATCGGCGATGCACCGGCGACGTCGGCGATACATCGGCGACGCCGGCGTGGAGAAATGCGGGCTTTGCATCGAGCCGCAACAGCGATGCACCGGCGATGAGGCGCGATCCACCGACGCCATCTGCTATGACCCCATCTGGGAGGCCGGTAGTCTCCTCCTCGGCTGCTGGTCGCCCTGCCTGGCTTTGCTTTTGCACTCCGGCTAGGTGTTGCGTGGCCGGATTTTTCCACACCTTCTTTACGACTTTCTCGCGCTTCGCGCGAGGGCGGCTGGGCGCCGTGCAGCCTGCTCGCCATCAAGCCCTGCGGTAGAGGGAAACAATTAGTGAACACCCCCCCTGCCCCCCAAACTCAAAGTTGGCACGCGGGGGGGAGACTGCGGTCGAGGTGCAACTCATCAGACCCACCGCCAACTTTGAGCATTGAGGGGAGGGGGATGCGATCACAGATGAATGTGGCATGAGTGTCCGCCATTTTTTTCCTCCGAGGCCTGGACTTGGGCGCCCGAACTATCCGGGGTAACTCCGGTCCGGGGTAAGTCGGGTTCGGAATCCCGAAAAACCAACCCGAGTTAGCCCTGACCCGAGTTACCCCTGATGATTCGGGGCTCTGGACGCCCGAATTATCCGGGGTAAGTCGGGTCCCGGGTAAGTCGGGTTCGGAATCCCGAAACACGAACCCGAGTTAGCCCTGACCCGAGTTACCCCCGATGATTCGGGGCCTACCACCATCGGGGAGGCCGAGATTCCTGGACTGGGGCACGTCTGGGCAGGGCAGCCGCCCCCCCCCGGGGGCAAGGGGCGGCGCGCGCCTCCGAGGCCTCGGCGCACAGCTTCGCGTCCTCCTGCGGGGGGGGGGGGGGCGAGAGGGCAGGGCAGCAAGAGGCAGGGCGGACGAGCATCTGTCGGGGAAACGTAAGACTCGGGTACGGGGGACTCGGGTTGGCCTGAAGGGGGCCATCATGACAATGGCGAGACCCAATCTGAAATTTGACGCGAGCTCCCGCTGCAAACATCCCGCGAAAACGGGACCGTCAAAATCCTGGACGCGCTCGTCAAACAAAAAGGCAGACCCGAGTTCTGGCTTACTCGAGTCTTGCGTTTCCGCGAATCTAACGTAGCTGGTGTTCCTGGCGCATCCTGGAGCCGGGAGGCGCCTGTGCATCGAGGAGTGGGCCCTGCCGCGGGGCCGAAACCGGCTGCATGCAACAGATTTCGTACCCCCCCCCTTTCCGACACTGATGGTATGGATGCGCGACAAGGACGCAAGCCCCTTAGACGCCCATGCCGAAGCTCGTTCGAGCGCGGCGCGGCCAGCGGAGGTGGTCAAGGATTGGCTGGAGAAGCACACATGCAAGGGCACACTTAGGCAAGTTAACCGTAATTCTGATCTGTTTCGACTGTCCTACCCTTGAGCAGGGACCGACCGTCCCGGCATTCCTATAGTCCTACCACAAAATGTTCTTAGAATCCAAAACTGCTCTAATAACAAAAGCAATGTTCTTAGAACATAAACCCGATGTGTTAAACAAGACAGACTCCGCCAGCAATGTTCTAAGAACATTTCGTGGAAACCACAAAAGGTTCTTAGAACATTGTTTGGTAGGGCTATAGGCGAGCCAGGACGCTTCGCCACTGCTTGATACCCTCTCGTCTGGCCGCTGGCCCGATCCTGGAACTGGTGGCGCAGCACCATCACCATGTTGTGATGCTCCTCTCGCGGCGCGCACGCGCTGTGCCCAGCCCCCCTCGGCGGCGCGGCGCATGCGGGGCACTGATCGGGGAGGGGGGGCGCCTCGAGCTCGAGGTTCGAGGTGCTCGGGCGTCTTGAAAACCTTCGAGAACATCGAGCCTCGAACCTGGGACAGCCCCAGGCTAGAAAACCGCCTGACAACTACACGAGAACTTGTCGTATAGGATGATCTTGGCGATTTTCCAGTATCGGGCTGCCTTCCAGCACCTGCGCCTCGCCGAGAACATTCCAGGGGTGCCTGGGTCGACCCGAACGGCCGCCAGGGGCCCGTGTTGTGGCCCGACAGCCCGAAATGCTCGCTCTGGGGATGAAGGGGGCTCAGCGGGGGGAAACACCTGGCTGGAAGCGGCGATACATCGCCGATAGATCGGCGACAGGCCCCCGATGGGGCACCCGCATGCTCCCGGGCGGAGCGGGCTATCAGGCCCCTGCCAGCGATGAATGAGCGATTGGGGGTCGATGCGTTTTCCCCCCCGAGCCCATGCTGCTGAGCGCTCCTCGTCGTCCAGGCTTCGGGTCATGACGTGGGCCCCTGGCGGCCGCTGGGGACGAGCCAGGCACCCTCGGGCGGCGCAGCTGCTGGAAGGCAGCCCGAGGCTGCCCGGGAACCTGCCAACCCCGGAGGCTGCCCCCGGGCCTGGGAAATCGGCTCTTCTTATGAATTACCCGGCAGGCGAGGCCGTCCAGCAAACGCACCCAGGGGGAGGGAGCCGAAAAGGACAAGGCCGTTTGGTAAGCGCCCAGGGCCGTTCAGCAAACGCCAAATCTCGGGGGCGGTTTTTCTGGTCCTCCCCAGCGTTCGAGCAGGAGATCGATTACATCACTGATGTACCCCGAAATCGGCATGTTCGGTGAATCAGCGAAAACATACGTACAATGTTCATGTATCCAGGAGCACTCCACGTACCCTTTGTAGATCCGACGCGACACACAAACAATCTGGGGGTAAATCAATACTGTTCGGTCGGACCGAAGACAGAAGAGCATCCCCCAAGGACAGGAGACCCTCCGTCGGCCAAAACAAACAGACATCCAAGGGTACCCTCCCCTGGATGCACAAGACCATCCAACAAACACGAAGAACACTGGGATACCCTCCCAGAGCCGACCTCGATCTCATACCCCGGTCCGACTGTAGTCGATGCGCCCCTCCCCAACGCTGACCCTGACCTCGGCGGCGGAGCGAGGTGCAGCCGTCGTGAGCAGATCTACCAGTGGGCACAGCTGAAGGGACCGGGGGCACACACACACACATTTTGCGTCGGCGGCTAGGCAGCGTCACTGCGCTGGCGATGAGGCGTTAGTGGGGCACGCCAAACGCGAATTAAGCCGCAATGCACGGGGGAGGGAGCACACACACACACACATATAAAAATATGTATACATACATACATTACATTACATACATACATACATACATACATACATACATACATATATACATACATACATACATACATACATACATACATACATACATACATACACACACATACATACATACATACATACAATACATTACATTACATTACATTATATTACATTACATTACATTACATTACACTACACTACACTACATTACATTACATTACATTACATTACATTACACTACATTACATTACATTACATTACATTACATTACATTACATTACATACATACATACATACATACATGCATACATACATTACATACATTACATACATTACATACATTACATACATACATACATTACATACATTACATACATACATACATACATACATACATACATACATACATACATACGTACATACATACATACATACATACATACATGCATACATACATGCATGCATGCATGCATACATACATACATACATACATACACACACATACATACAGATATAGATATATACATATATACACATATGTGTATATACAAGATAATTTGTTCAAATGACATGGATATTCGTCTTCGTCCCCACTTCTCATAGTTTCCCTTCTTGTTGTTCCTGGGACTCGACGGCTCTTGGGGTCTCTGTGTTCTTGTCCGCCCTTCGGACCCGCCGCGCACGGCGAGAGGCCGAGAGAGAGAGGCCCCTCCTCGGGATTCGGGAGGCCCGCGGCCGCCGCGGTGCACGGCTCGGGGCCGCTGGAGACGCCCCTGGCCCCGGGCCCCAGGGAGCGCCGCAAGCTATACTCGCCGCCCCAAGAGCGCCCCAATGGGACGCGCAGAGACATGCTAGTACTACATGTTCTCCTTGGAGGCGCGCGTCAGACCCGAACACATAGTATATGACTACCTACCAGATCACCCCAACCAACCCGAAGACACGAATTTCGGGTCGGGGGGGGTACGGGTTCCATGTGTTTTCTCAATGTTCCCCGACCACCCCACACTGGAGATGGAGGGAAAATCGTGGCCTTCGGGTTGGGTTGGGGTGGTTTGGTGGGCGGCGAGTATAGCCATATTGTAGTATATCGTTTCCCGAGCGGTGTGGCCAGAAAGCGCCCGCCACGACGCATATACTGTAAGATTTCTCGGTGCGCGCATCGCCCCTGGGGGGGGCGACGCACGTATAGTATAAGTATGTTGGGGTGACGCCGAGCCCAAGGACACACAAATAAATATACACAAATCCAAGGATTCCCCATATTTCCCAACATTTTCTAGAGTTCTGCCTTCCCCCCCTCTCCGCATATTTCCCTATATCTTTCTGGGAATCGAGGATGAATTGTGTCTGTGTGTTTCCCCCGTCTGAATAACATCGGGTGGGAATAAATCGAGAATATCTGAGATCAAGCGGCTCTGGGGGATGTATCGGGCGCCGCGGCCTTCTCGGAGCGTTCCCGAACGCTCTGAGAGCGTTCCGGAACGCTCTAGAACGGATTCGTCCTCGTCCTAGCCCCGTCCGAAAAGGTGCCTCTGGCCCAAAGGGTTCCCAGCTTGCCGCTCCATCAGGGGCCCCTGGAACCCCTGGGGCCTCGTGAGGGGTGCTCTGGAGGCCGTGGGGGGCTCCTTGGAAATCTGGGGGCACCTTGGACCAGGGGCACTTCCAGCACCGCCCGAACGAAAGAGCGCCGGACGGAGATCCGCAGGGAGCGAGGAGCGTCGAGTCCCTCTTTAAACCAAAGCGGGCCTCATCACTCAGGCTTGACCGCACGGAACTACAGTGTTCCTTTTCCTCTGCCTGCTCCTCCGCCGCATCCTCTCCTCCTGAGAGGATCGAGGGTCGAGACTCGAGGAACTAGCATCAACCTATGTGCGTGTAAGGCCCTCTCTGAACTTTTGGGGGCTTCTGAGAGCCTCCAGGACCTCGGAGACATCCAGGTGTGCAGCAAGGCTTCGGCCACAGAAAGACTCCAAGAGATGCCCAAGGACATTTCTTCCCCAGCGCAGTTCTGTGGAGGCGGAGGAAAGCTGGGGGAACGATCCGCACCAAGACCACCAGACAATTCAGCAAGCGTCATACGAACTTGAGCGGTTGCGTTGACATGGCGAGAACATGGCTGCGAGTGTGGCGGCATCCAGGTTCTGTTGCTAGGAGCGTCTGCGGCGTCATCCTGGCAACAGTGCCGAGGAAGACGAGGATGAGGAGGAGGGGAAGGGTGATGAGCACACAGGGCCGGCTGGCATCAGGCTGGGAATGCCCAAGGTCTAGTAGTCGGCGGATCCGCCCGATCCCGATAAATGAACCAGTGCGAGGGGGAACCACAGGGGGACCGGATCGGGGGGGGAAACATCTGGTTGGAATCGGCGATTTATCGCCGATGGATCAGCGATAGGCACCCGATACAGAACCGACACGTCCCTCCGCGGGACAGCTTATCGGGGCCCTAGCAGCGATGACTGGGCGATCGGGGATCGAGGTGTTTTTCTGGATCCCACGCTCCTGGGTGATCCTCGTCGTCCCGTTCTCGGGCCATCACTTTGGTCTCCGGATCCAGGCACCCTCGGACGGCGAGGCCCGTTCTTTTCCGTAAGCTCAACATCGATTTCCCATTGAAAGCCAGCGAAACACCTAAGGAAGACTGTAAAACAATTAAGGAAAACTGAGCCCCACCCCAACGAAAAGGGTTCCTTCTTCAGCAGCCCGACTGTAGCTGATCGATGTCCCAAAACCATCGAACGTATCCGGCGAAGCGCACGTCGGTCAGCGAGAAACCGACGGGGGACTGCACTGTGGAACACTCGACCTCCAGTGTCAAGCCAGCCCGTGCAGGTCTCCTCGGTCGACTTGTCTGGGTGGGCGCTCTCTCAATTAGGGAGCCAACACATGATTAGCAAAAAAAACCCTAACACTTTGGGAGGGGACCTAAGTTAGGAGGGCCAGAAACAATAGGGATAGGGGGCCTTTTTCTGCAGACGTATCGAACCTAGCCGCCCAGAATGATTATCCTTGATGCAAAAGACGGGCACCGAAGTGAAGCCACGTATTCACTGTGTCATTAGGGTCAGGGGTTCTTTTATTCTCGATGAACAAAGTACGTACTCGCCCACCCACGTACACAAGCACGGCCCCCCCAGTCCGCGAGACCAGCCGCGTGATACGAGTGCTCGCGCAGTGCGCACTCTCGAGACCAACGTGTGCGACGGCGACGACGACGACGACGACGGCGACGACGCCAACGACGACGACGACGACGACGACGACGACGCACCACGACGACGACGACGACGACGACAACGACACGTGTGCGTCCTTCTTTCTCCGCTCCTGATCAATGCCCGACCTAGCTCCACCGCACGCCCGATGACCCACCGGCGGGCAGCCGTCGCAGACGCCTCCGACCTCACCAGCGCCCGCGATGACGGCGGCACGGCAGGGCTTCGCACAGGCACCCTCGCGGGCGCGCGGCTGCCCGCGCCCGCGCACAGCCCCGCCGCGCGCGCGACGAGAGCGGGTGGTGATGGCACGCCGCCGCAGAAACCCGCCACGATTCTACTGCGACAAGAGACGCCGATGCCTTCGGGCAGGGA